GCCTCTGAACAGCTTTTGTGGCTGCAACCTTCCTCATCAAGGGCAGTAATGATACTAACATCAGTAGAACTCCTGAGAAAGGTGGTGGGGATTGAGAATGTTACGGCTGAGGAAACTGAGGCCCTAGGAGGTACCCAAAGTCAATCAACTGGAAAGAGTTGGCGGGGAGATGCAAACCTAGCTAAATTCGATCTGTAAGCAATGGCTGCCTCCCAAAGTGAAGTCCCTTCCCAGAGATGCTGGTGGCATCTGTCTCTTTGATGCCAAGCTTCTAGGCTGTAAAGCCCCTTGGGAGGGCCAGGTTAGGAGAAAGGACACCACACATTTCAGAGTCCTGAAGAATGAGATAAAAGTTCCCTAAGCCAAGCATCAGGGAGGCGGCCTGTCAGTCAAATGCTTTCTAGGCCTTAGTCTCAGTCCCAAGCCTCTCTGGATTCCTAAGGTCTTCCTCACCCTCACAGGTAAACAAGCTGTCAGTCTGTCCACCACACTCAGATGTTACCTTAGGATCCCAGTGAACCAAGGTGGTTCGTGCTGAGGCCTGGAGGTGACCTAGCTGAATTCCTTCAGTCTCTACCTTATTATGTATACAATATTCTGTCTATATGTATGTCTGCAGGCCAGAAGAGTGGGCACCAGACCCCATTACAGATGGTTGTGAGCCACCATGTGGTTGCTGGGAATTGAACTCAGGACCTTTGGAAAAGCAGGCAATGCTCTTAACTGCCGAGCCATCTCTCCAGCCAGTCTCTACCTTTATAGCAATGGTGGCTAATGGCACAGCCACTAAGAAGCTTCCTCTTTGCTCTCCCTGGCCACAAAACAGTGACGTAAGAGTCACCTCCCTCGACTGTGCAACACAAGACTCCTGTGACCATCACTCCGATACACTGAGCAGCCCTGCCATATCGTGGGTTTTTATACTTTGATCCAACTGGCAGAGGCACGCGGGTGCATGGGGTGCAGGGAACAGAGCGAGGCATTCCTCTCACGCTGAGAGCAGGCTGCTGCCGCTGGCCCATCCTTCTGCTTTTTGATCCAGCATACCCAGCGTCTGCCACGTTCAAGGCCAGCAGCCATCCATATTGCCTGCCGAGTTCCTCAGTGGTCTGACCTGCTGGCAGCCAGGAGTTAAGCAGATCCCTTCACCTGCTGGCTATTTATCTGGGACACACGGTTTGTGGAGAGGGACCCACCAGAGAGAGCGAGATTTACCTTCTCAGAGCTCCTGGAGGGGAGGGTGGTAGCGCTGGCATGACGAGATTGCTCCGGAAGCTGTGCCCTTACTGTCCACAGGGACAGGCCCCTGTGCTCTGTGACCATGGTGTGGGACTCTGGAGGCTCTCATGCATATGACCCATCCTCTGGTGGGTCCCTCACTCGTACAACTCAGAACCTCGGTTCCTCGGGGTCTTTTCAGCAACCAAACCCCTGGTCTGGAGAGCATGGTAGGTTCCTACGGCAATGGGCCTTTTAGCTGTTTCCATGGCAACCAACACTCAGACCATCTAGTTGCTAGTCAACTGACAGCTGTAAGTGAATCGGATTGAGTTTACACAAGCTGAGGGCTAGGCCCTGGGATCCTCTGGAGAGGGAAAGCTACGACCACCCTAAAATAACTCAACTCCTCAAGACTTTTAGACAACACTTAGGGAAAACACAGCCACTTTCTACCCTGGATTGCACAGCTCTATCCACATTCCCAACACACACAGCTGAGCATCTTGGGCCTTTCACCACGGCACACGCTAGTTTATTCCCGGCTCTGTCTTTGCTCAGAGGGCTACTGGGGCCAGTGTAGCATGAATTTCAAATGATGCTCATCCTACTGACTTTTCGACACTCTGCTCCATGTCAGTGTTGTTCCTGGGTACCACACCTTTGTCGCCAAACCAACCCCCTGTGGGAGCACTGTTCTTGGATCCTCTAAGCACAGGTGCTTGTCCCTACGGACAGTAAGAAAATGGTAATGCAAGATCATCTTGTCTTAGTTGACCTCACCCCCTTCAAGTCCTTTCCTATGCCTGGGGCATTCCCAGAGACCACTCCCCTTATCAATCTCTGTGAATCATCATCATATTTTCTCCTTCTTTCCTTCCTCCTTCCTTCCTGAGACAGGATCTCACATTGCCCAGGCTGGCCTTGAACTTGCTATGTAACCAAGGATGACCTTAAACTTAACCTCTAGCCTCGACTGCCTAATGCTAGGACTCTGAGCATGTGCCATGCTTAGATTATTACTTATTATTGTTTGTATTTGGTAAGGACATCAGTACCCCATTGTCCTTGTACACAGATGACAACCTCGGATGTCAGTCCAATTTTGAGACAGATGTTGTTTGCCACTGCATATAGCAGGCTAGCTGGTATAGGCATGCTGGGATTATAGCCAGCATTTTTGCAAAGTTTTTTCACCCAATTTTATTTTAGGTGTACCTGTGTTCTGCCTATATGTTAAGCACTATGTGTGCAATGCCTGAAGAGGGTGTTGGATCCCCTGGAACTGGAGTTACAGAGAGCTGTGAGCTGCCATGTGGGTCCTGGAAAGTGACCCCAGTCCTCTAGAAGAACAGCCAGTGCATTAGCCAGAGTCATCTCTCCAGCCCCACACTGAGCTTTATAAGTGGGGTCTGGGGATAGAAGGTGAGGTCCTCATACTTGTTTGGCATCCCCAGTCCTCACTGTGTCTTAACACACACACACACAAACACACACAAATGATTTCAAAATCAAGCACACAGGACTTCATTGTTCTACTTTTTTTTTTTTTATCAGTATGAATAACTGGAGTCCTGAGATCTACCTGACTTGGATTCATGTAAGGCAATGGTTCTCAACCTGCGGGTCTCAAACCCTTCGGGGGGGGGGGGTCACATATCGGTATTCTGCATATCAGATTTACATTACAATTCGTAACAGTGGCAACAAAAATAATTTTATGGTTGGGGTCACCACAACTTGACTGTATTAAATAAAGGGTCACAGCATTCGGAAGGTTGAGAACCATTGATGTAAATAGAATTGCTCAGAAAGCCGGAGGCTGGCATTGAAAGTGAAGAACGCTTTGTATACCTAGGAGTCAATGCCTCTGTGTTAATGACTGTGAACTTTCTGCAGAGCTGACCTTTCAAACTAATCCTCCTGTGGGAGCCCTACCTATCTCAGAACTGCAGGCTCCACTGAGCCTCCCAGTGGCTGGTAGGGCAACAGTTCTAAGCTGCTGGGTCCCCTCCCACTCTGATTGTAAGGACACAAGAACATAGGCTAACGGAGCTTTTTGGTTTTTTTTTCTAATATTTTTTCACACGAGGGCAGGAGTATGAAATTCGGGGTTGGGAGCTGTTAGCGTCTATGGAGCTAAAAAGAAGAATATTTTAGGAACTGGGAGACAGAGAACTGAGTTTTCTCTTTCTCCTGGCCCCTCAGCAAGTTTCCACACAAAGATGATAGCTTTATTTTTCCGAGGAGACACATCACTACACGTCAGACTGAACCTCCCGATTTTCCTATTTCTAGACAAGAAGCAGCCTAGACCAGTGGCTCCCACTGACAAAAGTGTAGACCACACGGCCGGACTCACGTAAGTCTTCCACGTAGCCCCATTTCCCTTTGTATTTGATTGCACTGTCATTGTCCCTGGCCAGTGCAGTAGGAAAATCAAACTGAACACGGAGGAATGAAATCATTTAAAGTTCACATTCACAGCTGATTGACTGGCGGAGCCAAAATGTACCCATGGGCAGTTGGAAGCAATGACCTCAGCAGGTAGCTCTTTTGGAGTTCACGTGACTCTGATTCACAGAGCATCCACGTAGGAAAACCAGGGTGGGCTAAGCATGAAAGAACACACAACAGACACCATGCAGTGGGTGGGCCGCTTGCTGGTAGTAACTTCATTACTGACCCGCTGCTGTCCCCTGGTGGTTGGCCTGGGAAACTCACAGGTGGGGAAAGCTAAGGATCTAGGCGATGAATGGGGCGCACACCTGCATTCCCGCATTTAGGAGGCAGAAGCAGGAAGATCAGGAAGTCAAGGTTCTCTGATACATTATAAGTTCAAGACCAGTCTGAGCAACACCAGACCTTGTTACAAAAATTTAAAAACGGACACGGATTTCATACAGCAAACTGAGACCCATGACCATACTTCTCACTTCAAGATTTAATCAACCAACTATTATCTGTTTTAATGTCCCCCCGCTCCGCACCCCAGATTGGGTCTCATTTAGCCCAGGGTGGCCTTGAACTCATTATGTAGATAAGGTTGGTCTCAAAACTTTGCAGCAATCCTCCTGCCTCTGCCTTTCAGTGCTGAGATTATGTGTGTGGCTGGAGGTAGCAGTGGGATGATGAGATCAGGCACACCTGGAGCTCATGATCCTCCTGCCTCTTGTGGGCAGGGCCTATTTATTTATTTGAACAGGATCTCAGTATGCTACTCAGACTGGCTTGAAACTCACAACCCTCCTGCCTCCTCAGAGCCCCTAATCTTTTACTTTTGTTTCTAGGCTTGCGGATTATGGCAGGTGATGTCCCAGTCACCACGCTCCTTCACTCCTCTTAAGGTGTCGCTATTCATTAGGTAGTGTTTGCTGCTCCAAGCATGCTTGGCGGTGTGAGATTGTGTGCAGTGAAGCAAAACAATGTCTCTCTCTTGTTTCAAGACAGGGTTTCTCTGTAGCTTTGGCGCTTGTCCTGAAACTCCCTCTGTAGACCAGGCTGCCCTCAAACTCACAGAGATCTGCCTGCCTCTGTTTCCCAAGTACTGGGATTAAAGGCGTGCGCCACCACCGCCTCGACAATGTCATTTTCTATGGATAAGGTCCAGCTCATAAAAAAGAAAATGAGGAAAAGGGCAGTTTCCCCTGGGTGCCTGCTTGCTCTGGCCCTGAACACAAATGCAAGAAAGGCAAGCTAGTATTTATTTATCAGAAGGTTCAATCTTCCCTGCAGAGGGAGGATACATGTTAATACTGTTTAAAAAAAACAAAACAAGCACCTGCAACCAAGTATCATCTTTAATGAAAGCCTCTGAAGAACAAGAAACAAGAGCTGACCACAAAGAAGAGCAAAAGCATTCAGAGCCAACTTTCTGCTGCACCTCTCAGCCAGTCTCTGGATGTTCATCTTACGGCACTGGTTTAATTTCAGGTTTGATTTCTCTTCTATTTCTTCCCTTCCCTCCAGCCATGACCTCTCACCCCACACAGACACAGGGTGCCAAAGAGTTTAGCCTTTGATCTCCACTGGAATCTCCCAGCAGAAGAGGTTTTGCTTTTTGTCATCTTCAAGCTCCCATTTCACCACCAGCTTTATCTGGAAAAAGAAAAGGAATTGGGAAAAATGAAGCCAGAACCTGATTTTTGATCTATAACTGGCTTCAGTTTGTACCTTCAATCCTAATTCTTTTTAAGTCATATCATCTTGTAGCCCGATTAGGATATGACCTTAATCCAAAGAGTGAGCCAAAATATACCAATGATATCATTTAATCTAGTCCAATTTATCAATGTAATTTTTCAAGTATAATATTTCTTTCCTCTCTCCTCCTCTTTTTTTCTGTTTAGTTTTTCTAAATTTTATCTTATGTGAATGAAGTTTGCCTGAATGTATATATGTGCACCACATGTATCCCCGGTACTGGAGTTACAAATGGTTGTGAGCTGCTTCTTGGTGCTGGGAACTGAACCTGGGTCCTCTGCAGAGCAGCCAGTGCTCTTGACCACTGAGCATCTCTCTAGCTCCTCTTTTCTGTTTTCTTTTTCCTTTGAATAATTTATTTTTAATGCGTATGTTTGTGTGAGGGTATTGGATTCCCTGGAACTGGAGTTAAAGACAGCAGCGGCCACCATGTGAGTGCTGAGAATTGAACCGGGATCATCTGGAAGGGCAGCCAGTGCTGTTCACCGCTGAGTCATCTCTCCAGCCCCTTTCTTTTTCTTTTTTAAAGACACAGTCTTCATAGCTAATCTAGATTAGCTTTAAATTTACTATGTAGTATGGCCTTACATTTGTGGCAATCCTACTTCAGCCCCCTGAATTCTGGGATTGTAGGTGGATGAACACACCTATTAAATGTAATTCTAAAATTCTTGACTTCTCTTTCCTTTCTTCTTCCCTCCCTCCATTTGTTACACAGCTTTACTGACCCGGAACTTGCTATGTAACTCAGGCTGGCCTCGAACTTCTGGTCCTATTTCTGCCCCCGAGCGCTGAGACTACAGGTATGCATCACTGAGTTTCACTCTTAGGTCAGAGTCATGCAAATAGAGCCTTACAAATACAATAATTTTAAATTTAAATAGCTTCTCACTTAATTGGCAAACTTCTACAGCCCCTTTCACTCTTAGGTCCTTCAGTGTAAAGAAACTTTCTTGTCAGCTAGGAATGGAAATGCCAAAGCAGTGGTCTCAGCCTAAGGGCCGTGACCCCTTTGGGTGGGGGGGGTCAAGTGATCCTTTCACAGGGTCACCTATGACCATCAGAAAACTGATATTTACATTATGGTAGCAAAATTACAGTCATGAAGTAGCAATAAAAATAATTGTATGGTTGTGGTGACCACCACAAGAGGAATTATGTTAACGGGTTGCAGCATTGGCAAAGCTGAGAACCGCTGGTCCACAGCCATGTGGAACCGATCATTTCCAGGACAACTACCCTGTATAGCTGTATAGCGACAGAGTTTAAGTTAACTTCCCCTACCCCCACCCCACTGGCCTCGCCTCTTACAGACTGACCTGGAACTCACTGTACAGCCAGTCCAGGCTGTTTTGAATGCGCATCAATGAGGCCTCAGCTTTCCAAGTGCTAGGATTATACAGGAGCACACACCGCTGTTATCTTAAACTGATTTCTGTTCATTATCTCATTTGATAATCTCAAAGATCTCAATTTTGACTTGGTACAGTCAAACTAGGAGCTGTGTGGTCACTGTTGTTTGTTTCTGGAGCTATGGTCTCACTTCTGCACCACAGGCAGCCTGGAACTCTGGAATTCCCTAGATAATCTAGTGTTGGAGAATATTATTTTAACCATGCAAAGGTGTGTTGCATTTTTTTCTGCTGCTTTTGTTAACAATGAAAAGATGTGTTGTATTTGTTTGATTGAATAAAATTAACCTGGGATTGAGGAGCAAGAAAAGAAAAAGGAGAGAGGACACCAGGGACTGGCTACCCAGCCACACAGCCTGCCATGGAGTAGGAAGGAAAGAAAAGTGATACAGATATAGAAAAAGGTCAGACTGGAGAGATGGCTCAGTGGTTAAGAAACAGAAAAAGGTAAAAAAGCCCAGAGACAAAAGGTAGATGTGATTACTTAAGAAAAGCTGGCTAGAAATGAGCCTAGCAAAGGCCAGGCATTCATAAGCAAGAATAAGGCTCCGTATGATTTATTTGGGAGTTGGGTAGCAGGCCCCCTAAAAGAGAGAAGAAAAAAAAGTCTAGGCTGGCCTTCAACCTATAGCAATCCTCCTGTCTAAGCCTTCTAAGTGTTGGAAGTGTGAGCTATTGTCCCATCTGATTTTGTAATTTTTTTCGGTAGGTCTCACTATGTAGCCCCGGCTAGCCTTGAACTCAGAGATCCTCCAGTCTCTGCCTGCTGAGTTCTGGGGTTAAAGATGTGCACTAACATGCCTTTTCTTTTTTTAAAGATTTAATGAGCCACCAGGACTGGTAGCCACCACCGCCCGGCTAGCTAAAATCTTTTAACCCTGCACAGGCTTTGGACTTAGAGACCCGTCTCTAAATCTAAGCACAAGGACTTCTTGGTAAAGCAGATTTGGACTCTGTCTGTAGTACATGAATTCAGAGGCTTAGAATTCTTCACTTATAAGTCAGAAATAATATCACCACTGCACAGGGAGGCTCTGAGTGAGGAACTGGTCTATAAAAATGGCATCCTCGGGTCCCTCAAACTTATCTCCTTCCGCACAGGCCTTTCCAGCTTCACCAGAAATGAGAGGCCCTTTGCCCCAGTCCCTGTTTCTTACTCCCAGCCTCCGCATCTGACCCAGCCCCAGGGAGTCACTTACAGAGGGGTATTCACTCTTCACTGGGAGTTTATTCAGGTAGCTGTAGGTCTTGTCTTTCTGGATGGGGCAGTTGATTCCAGACTTACAACCGTCGGACTCAGGGATGGGGAAGAAGACGGGGAGTCCTGCCAGGATGCCGTACACTGTGGCAGAGCTGTTCTCCGACTGAGTGCCTAGGAAGACAGAGAGTCAGGCGGTGAAGGCAACTGTATTTGTAAATTCTAAGGCAAGTCATCAAATTCACTCTCAAATGCTAGAAGGGCTATAGCAGCAGACCAGAGGCCTCTTCCTTCCAGCATCTCTGTCTTCATGGGTCACCGTTAGCAGCCAGCTCTGGTCCATGTGATAAAGGAGCTGGTTTCTTTCCTTGCTCCCCATCAAGGGAATCAGGCTACTTAGACAAATAACCTTATCTACCACTATAAGGACCACTGGTTTCTGCCAGAGTGTACCGTGGGTTTTAAATGCCGGCAGAGACAGGCAATCCTTTAGATACTTTGTAAAATTAAAAGAGCTGTTAATCTCTTGGTCCCCTCCAGCCTCCACACTGAAGACAGGCAGGAGGGGTGAAGTATTATCAGATTAGGGCAACTAGTCACTGCAGTTCTCAGGCAGGACTGAAGAGGTTCTCAAGAGACTGCTGTGCTCCTCCCTCTGACCATCAGGCTATTGAGACATTGTGCCCCAAAGAAATGAAATCACACCCCCTCCAGCCCTGGAAGAGAACAGATGGAGCCCAAGGTGTCAGAAAAAGAAGGGACTTGCCCTTGCGATGCAGGAAGGGTAATAACAACCTGGAGACAGGCCAGGAGCTGAGCATATCGAGGATGAGGCTGGGCCTCCCTTGTCAGGCTGCCAGGGCCCAGACCTGTATCCCCAAACCTTTAGTAATGTTACATGCTGTTAATGATATTTTGGAGATCCAGGGTACAGGCTGTGTTTCATTCTTTTTTCTTTTTTTTTAAATATTTATTCTATTTATTTATTTTGTATACAATATTCTGTCTGTGTGTATGCCTGCAGGCCAGAAGAGGGCACCAGACCTCTTTACAGATGGTTGTGAGCCACCATGTGGTTGCCGGGAATTGAACTCAGGACCTTTGGAAGAGCAGGCAATGCTCTTAACCACTGAGCCATCTCTCCAGCCCCCAGGCTGTGTTTCATTCTTTTAATTTTTAATAATAATTTTAAAAAGCCTAAACTCTATTTAGTTAGTGGGGGGAGGTGTGAACATGGCACGGCAGACGCATAGGTCAGAGGATAACATCTGGGAGTCTGCTTTCTCCTTCCACCATGCAGATTCCGGGGTTCACCTTTAGCTGTAAGTCACCTCACAAGCTCTTCATTTTATTTTTTAAAATTTATTTATTTTTACTTCATCTGCATTGGTGTTTTGCCTGCGTTAATATCTGAATGAAGAGGGCTGGAGAGATGGATCAGAGGTTAAGAGCACTGGCTGCTCTTCCAGAGGTCCTGAGTTCAATTCCCAGCAACCACATGGTGGCTCACAACCATCTGTACTGAGATCTGGCGCCCTCCTCTGGCGTGCAGGCATACATGGAGGCAGAATGTTGTATACATAATAAATAAATGAAGATGCCAGATCTTCTGGGAATGGAGTTATAGACAGCTATGAGCTGCCACGTGGGTGGTGGGATTTGAACCTGGGTCCTCTGCAAGAGCAGCCAGTGCTCTTAACGCTGAGTCATCATTAATTTTATTTTTATAAAAACACGTTTAGTCAGCATCATAATTAGACTCTTTCTTTTCATGCTCAACAAAACAGCCGAAGAAAAGTATCCATTAAAACCTTTCCCTGGGGAGAGGGCACTGGAGAGTACCAGCTGCTCTTCTGGAAGACCCAGGTTCAATTCTTAGCACCCACATAGTGGCTCCTCGCACCCATAACTCCAGCTCCAGGGGATCCATCACACTCTCCTGACCTCTGTGAGCACCAGGCACACCCGTGCGCACATACATACATGCTGGCAGAAACCTTATACACATAAACCTAAACAAAAACTAAACACCAAAGACAAAACAACAATTATAAAACAGAACAAAACACCACCCCCCACCGCTGGAATGCTATCCACCTTCCACACAGAAATGAAAATAACCTGCTCTACAGTTAGTCACAGACACTGCCCAGACACATGAGAGAGTGGGCCCCGCTTTGCTGAGGTCACAGCTGTTGACCTGTGGCTTCCTGGTCACTTGCATGGCTCGCCTCTCCTGCCACGTTTCGTTTCCTGGCAGCAGCTAGACCCTTCTGCCACAGACAGCTGCTGTGGAGCTGCATCGACAGCTTGGTTCTGTGGTTCAGCTAAGTACACTTACCCCACAGGGGCCAGAGCTCCTGCCTGCAAAATCTCCTCCAGTCAGAGGGCCAATATTTGCAGACAAATTGTTGTAGCTGCCAAAATCACCACAGCGTCCACTGCCTCCAAATGGCTTCCATCATTACCAAATCCATTATAGCTATCCCACTGCCATCATATATACCGCCACCACTGAAGCCACCATGACCACTAAAGTTCCCTCCACACCTAAAACCACCACCAGAGTCTCCAGAACCGCTCTGACTTTTTGGCTGGATGAAGGACTAGCTATTTCTTGCTTCCACAGGGTGGGTCTTACTTCACAGCTGTGGGTATACGAAGGATGGTGTTTTTGAATGGCAGTCTTATCCAAAGGGTCTTGGTTGTTAAAGGTAACAAAACTAAGTGCCTCTTTTCCTCCCTGCCTGTCACTCATGATTTCAACCACTCTGGTCTCAGAGGTGATGCTCTTTAGTGTCCTCTTCGATACTGAGAAAGATCTTTTTCACGGGCGAGTGGGACCTGGTCTTTGAGGATCTTCTCCTTTGGCTCTCTGGCTCCACGACTCTTCCAGACACCGTATGTGGCCCTGTAGTTATGGCTACACAGTGGTGTAGTGATAAATACAAAGACCTAGAGTGTTGGTGTTTGGGGGAGTGTTCTCTTTTGCTCAAATGGTTCCTCACTCTCGTCAACCGTACTGAAACTCAAAACTAGAAAACAGAGCTTCTGTAGCTGTTGGGACACCTCAGGAGACGTTGTATTTTTTTTATTATTATTTTTGAGATAGGGTTTCTTTACATACTCTGGCTGTCCTGGAACTCACTATGTAGCCAGGCTGGCCTCTGGAGGTTCTCTTGTCTCTGCCTCGGAGTGTTGGGATTAGGGCTGTGCAGCACTCTGACTGACTTACGAGGCCCTTTCTAAGACCTGCTGTCAGGGAGGTGACAGCTTCCAGCAATGTTTCCTCAGGCTTGTCGACAGACAGAAAGGGGCCCTTATATATTTTGTATAAGAACTATGTGAGTGTTTGTGTGTGAACACTAGCCTGAGGTCAGCCTCAAGAAGCCATGCACCTTGTTTTTTGAGACAGTCTTCTTACTGGCCCGGGATTTACTGACTTGGCCAGGCTGGCTGCCAGTGAGCCTTGGGATCTACCTGTTTCCACCTCCCCAGTGCTGGGGCCACAAGCCTATTTCCAGGACGACCATTCCTGGCATTTTACATGGATTCTGGAAATCAAACTGAGGTCCTCATGTTTTTGGTTTTGTGTTGGTTTTTTGAGACAGCGTTTCTCTGTGGAACAGCCTTGGCTGTCCTGCAACTCGCTCTGTAGACCAGGCTGGCCTTGAACTCACTGAGACCCACTTCCTGAGTCTCTGCTTCCTGAGTGCTGGGATTAAAGGTGTGTGCCACCACTGACTGGTGAGGCCCTATCTTTTTTTTTTTTTAGATTTATTTATTATATATGTATACAGTGTTCTGCCAGCATTATGCCTGCAGGCCAGAGAGGACACCAGATCTCATTACAAATGGTTGTGAGCCACCAAGTAGTTGCTGGGAAGTGAACTCAGGACCTTCAGAAGAGCAGGCAGTGCTCTTAATTGCTGAGCCATCTCTCCAGGCCCCCATCTTAAAAACAAACAAACAAAACCAACCAACCAAACAAAAAACCAGGGTTTCTTTGTGTAGCCCTGGCTGTCTTGAATGCACCTTGCAGACTAGGCTGGCCTTGAACTCACAGAAGGACATGCTATTTAGTGCAGGCTGCCTTTGATTCCTCTTGCTCCACCCTCCAGTGCTGTGATTACAGGCATCACCTACAACTTGTGCCTTTTCCTTCTTCCTGTGTGGGGCGCATGGCTTCCACCTAGAATGCTGTGTGTGCATACGCAGGGGCCAGAGGAAGACATGTGAGCTCTGCCCCATTGCTCTGAGTCTCCAAGGAATACTCTTGAGATAGAGGCTCTCACGTCCTGGCTAGTCTTAATATCAACCTGACACGGCAAACTAGAGTCATCTGAAAGGAGAGAACCTCCATAACATCGGGCTGTAAGGCATTTTCTTAATTTGTGATTGATGTGGGAGGGCTCAGCCCATTGTGGGTGGTGCCATCCCCCGGCTGGCGGTCTTGGGCTCTATAGGAAAGCAGGCTGAGCAAGTAAGCCAGTAAGCAGCACCCCTCCATGGTCTCTGCATCAGCTCCCACCTCTGTAGACCAGGCTGGCCTCCAGGTCCCTGCCCTGACTTCCTTCGGTAATGAACAGTGATATGGAAGTATAAATTGAATAAACCCTTTTCTCTCCAACTTGCTTTTTGGTCATAGTGTTTCATTTCAGCAAAAGAAACCCTAACTAAGACACTAAACTGGATGGAGCTAGGCTGGCGGCCAGCAGGTCCCCATCCTCCAGCCTTTGCACTCACAGTACTGGACTTACAGGCATGTGTGTGGCACACCTACCTTTTTATGTCAGGGCTGGGATCTGAACTCAGGTCCTCATGTTTGGGCAATAAGTGCTTTTTCCCAACTGAGTCATCTCCCTAGCCTTTAGTTTGTTTTTGTTTTTTTTTTTAAACAAACAAGCTAAGGTGATAGGGTGGATCAAGAAAGAAAGTAGGGCGCTCATTCTCTGAGCAGAGAAGTGAGCAGCGCTGAGAACTCTGAGTTCTAGATAGTTCATGGGAGAGCAAACGAGGGAAGGAGTCCAGACAGTTGCTCTGTCCAGAAATAAGCATTCTGTACTTGTCTAGATTCTTTACATTTTTAAAAAATTTAATTTCATTTATGTTTATGTATGTGTATGCACACACTATGTGCGGGTGCCTGTGCAAGCCAGAGGAGGGGCACTGGACACTCTGGAGCTGGAGTTATAGATGGTTGGGGGTTCCATGTGGGTGCTGGGAATCCAACTCAGGTCTTCTTGTTTGTTTGGGACAGGGTTTCTCTGTGTAGCTTTGGAGTCTCTCTGGGAATTTACTCTCTAGACCAGGTTGGCCTTGAACTCACAGAGATCCGCCAGCCTCTGCTGGGATTAAAGGCGTGCAGCACCACAGCCCAGCTCAGGTCTTCTTTAAGCAGAGCAAGCTCTCTTAACTACTGAGTCATCTTTCTCTGGTGCAAATCTGCTGTCTTTAAAGTGTGTGTGTGTGTGTGTGTGTGTGTGTGTGTGTGTGTGTCACAATGCACTTGTAGGAATCAGTTCTCTCCTTTGACTATGTGGCTTCTAAGGACTGAACTTAAGTCACCCAGCCTGGTGATAATTACCTTTACCCACAGAGTCACTTTACACATACCTTTTCTCCTTTGAGATAAACCATCAGTTCTCAACATGTGGGGTTTTGACCCCTTTTGGGGGCAAACAACCTTTTCACAGGGGTTGCATATTAGATATCCTGAATATCAAATATTCACATTACGATTCATAACAGCAAAATTACAGTTATGAAGTAGCAATGAAAATAATTTTATGGTTGTAGGTCACCACATGAGGAAGGGTCTCAGGGTTAGGAAGGCTGAGAACCACTGAGATAAGATCTCTCTCTGTAGCTGTGGCTAGCCTGGAATTTTCTATAATGAGGCTCCTTTTGGGCTCATGGTTCTTCCACTGAGGCCTGGCTTGAAGGAACATTATGCAGAATGTTAAAGATTTGTTTCTGTCCTTTCTTCACCCCTTGCTGTCTCAGTCAGGTTTCCAGAACCAGGCTGCGCTGGACACAGCAGGAACCCAGCATGAGAAGGGTGTCTGAGGACACAGTAGTGGCCCTGAGCGTTTCCTGCTGAGAGACATCACACAGACAGCCCGCAGCAGAGAGCTCTCACACAGCTCTGACTCAGCGCAGTCTGCATGGCTCCTGGGTTTTGCAGTCTGCATGGCTCCTGGGTTTTGTGTCACCCTCTTATACGTTGTGAAACTACTACAGGATTCTCCCCTCCCCACTTTTAGTCAGAGCTATAACTTAAAAGCACTCCTTTTATCAATCCAGCCCTTCAGGTTTCCTTTTAGAACATGAAAAGTAGTAGCTACGGAGCCAGACTCGGTCCTGTCCAGCAACAAAGTGAATTCTAGTTTTGTGCAGGTCAGAAAGGACGTTGACAAATCCCTGCCAACCAAGCCATGGTCTCCCCTGCTATATCACGGTTCAGTGTGAAGTGAAGGGAAGAGTCACAGTTACTCACCACTAGTGAAGGTGACATTGACACTGTAGGACTGGCCTTTGTGCAGCTCACATGGCTGGGTGGGGCATGGGCTCACATTCACCTCCTTTATAACTCCGACCTTAGAACCTGCAAAAAAAGAAAAAAATCAAATATGAAGAAAAGACTGCACTGAGGTTGCAGGTGCCTCATGGTGAAGTGAGTTTCTTCTGACTGTTTTCCTGAAACGAAGTCCTTAGGACAAAGTACGGTTAGATTTGGGGCTGGGTAGGTGGCTCGAAAGGTAAACAAAGCACTTGCTGCACAGTATGAATCCCCAGAACCTACCTAAAGCTGGCTGCAGCAGGGGGCATTTGCAATCCCAGCGTTCTTACAGAGAGATGGAGGTAGAGAAAGGGGAATCCTGAAAACCTGCCAGCCAGCCAGCCTGTAGGATGCTGCCAGCATAGCCGCAAAGAGACCTATTTCAAACAAGGCAGAAGGCAAGGACCCACATCTGAGACTTCCTCTGGTCCCTACATGTCCCTAGATGGGCACCTACATCATATCCCGACATCTCCCTCCTCCTTCCCCCCCCCCTCTCTCTCTCACACACACACACACACACACACACACTAACACAAAAGTCGAGAATCTTGGTACTACTAAAAATCAAACTTATAAATTGAATGAAAAGCAAATTGATTTCTTGGCAAGCAGAATACTAATATTTATCAAATTAAGAAATATAGTGAGACAACGTTTAGACAACACTATATGAAAAGGACTCTATTAAAAAAAAAAAGCCAAAAAGAAAAAAAAAAGCCAGGCATGGTGGCACATACCTTTAATCCCAGCACTTGGGAGGCAGAGGGAGGCAGATCTCTCTAAATTCCAGGCCAGCCTGGTCTATCAGGACAACCAGAGATATATAATAAAACCCTGTCTCAAAAAAACCAAAAAAATAAAAAATAAAAACAAAACCCCTAAATGCTTCCAGATTCTTGTCTTGCTTTTTCTCATTCTCTCCCCCTTCCCTGTGAGGGTACTTGGGGATGAACTTGGAAATCTTTATATCTTGAATTCCTTTTTTTTTAAATATTTATTTATTTATTTATTATGTATACAATTTTCTGTCTGTGTGTATGCCTGAAGGCCAGAAGAGGGCGCCAGACCTCTTTACAGATGGTTGTGAGCCACCATGTGGTTGCTGGGAATCGAACTCAGGTCCTTTGGAAGAGCAGGCAATGCTCTTAACCACTGAGCCATCTCTCCAGCCCCTTGAATTCCTTTTTCTAAAATTAATTTATTGTGGGTGTACATGCCTATGTTCCACAGTGCCTGCGTGAAGGTCAGAGGACAACTTTTAAGAGCTGGTTCTCAGCTGGGTGGTGGTGGTGCACACCTTTAACTCTAGCACTCGGGAGGCAGAGGCAGGCAGATCTCAGAGTTTGAGGCCAGCCTGGTCTACAGAACGAGTTCCAAGACAGCCAGGGCTACAAAAAAAAAAAAACAACCCCGTTTTGAAAAACAAAACAAACAAACGGGGCTGGAGAGATGGCTCAGCGGTTAAGAGCATTGTCTGCTCTTCCAAAGGTCCTGAGTTCAATTCCCAGCAACCACATGGTGGCTCACAACCGTCTGTAATGGGGTCTGGTGCCCTCTTCTGGCCTGCAGACATACACACAGACAGAATATTGTATACATAATAAATAAAAAAAATATTAAAAAAAAGGAAAGAAAAGACAGAGAGAGAAAGAAAAAAAAAAGAAAATAAAGAGTAACATTAGTGGTCTGGGTTAGTTAGTCAAACTTGGTTTTTTAAACCAGTGGCGCCTGAACCCTACTGTTTTGTGAGAGAGTGCTGTGTGGGACTTAAGAGGAACCGCCACCTCAATCCTCAACCGAGGAATGGCCCTGAAAAGAAGAAACAGCTCCCTCCTTAAAGCTGAAGTTCCCCACAATACTTCTGCTTTCAGGCCAGTCACGTTCTCCAGGCAGCCGCTAAGAGGCTCGCTCAGGGAGTCATGAGGACTCTGGCTCTCACAGACAGGATCTCAAATCTTGACTAAGCCATTAAACTTTGACTTTTCCCAGAACCAAACAGAGGAAGACAGAGGTCAAGATCTTTATAGTTCCAAAAAACACTCAGGGACCCCAGCTGGGCGAGGTACCAGGTTGGTCAGTACCTGCAGCTCTTGGACAGTTGAGGCAGGGGGAGGAGCACAGTTTGAGGCGAGCCTTGTTTCAAACAAGTAAACAAACAAACAAAAAACAAACTTAGGGCCCAAGCAGGGCTGATTCACTCAGTCAAGACCAGCTTCACTAACTGGTACAGTAACTGTTCTAGCAGAAGAGAAGGTATTTGAAAGAGATACTGGGGGGCTGGAGAAATGGCTCAGAGGTTAAGAGCACTGACTGCTCTTCTGGACGTCCTAAGTTCGATTCCCACAACCACATGTTGGCTCACAATCATCTGTAAGTACTCTTCAGGCATGCAAGTATAAATGCAGACAGAACATAGCAAATAAATAAAATCTTTAAAAAAAAAAAGATACTGCGTTATCAAGACTCCCAAAACAATGGACCACAATGGTGGTGGTGTGGGGGGCGTGTGTGACATGCTGGTGCCAGCCAGATGAGAAACCTGCTTCCCAGGAAGAGATTTCAGTTCTGACAACAAGTCAGACCACTTTGTAGGTCAGACTTGAGCTAACTACCTTATTATTCATACCTCTTACCCTCAATTTAAATACGAACCTCTTAGTACCCCCAAAAACTGACTGGTGGTTCCTTTGTTATGTTCTTCTTTCCAATACTGCCACACTGAAAAAGCTCCTTTCTTGGCTTTTCAATATTACTTACTCTTTTCAAAAAAAATTCTAAGGTCTATTTATTTATTTAATGTTTTTTTTTGTTTTTTTTTTTTTGAGACAGGGTTTATCTGTGTAGCTTTGGTTGTCCTAGAACTTACTCTGTAGAGCAGGCTAGCCTCGAACTCATAGAGATCCACCTGCCTCTGCTTCCTGAGGGCTGGGATTAATTGTGCTAGGTTTATTCATTTTCTTGGGTGAGAATATGCTGCCTACACATATGTATATACACATGGTACCCATGGAGGTCAGAAGAGAGCATTGGATTCCTTAGAACTGGAGTTATGGATGGTTGTGCGCCACCATGAGGGTACTGGGAACCGAACCTGAATCCTCTGGAAGAGCAGCAAGTGCCCTAAACCACTGAGCCATTCCTCAGGCCCCCTTTACTTGTCTCTTTAACTGGCACTTGAGATGAGCAGCCAGGGCCCAGGCTTTCAGCCTACACAATCCTAGATTTATTTTCCTCGCCAGTAAAATTACCAGGCTAAGGGCTGCACAGTTGCTGAAAATAATATACTTGTAACTATTATTTATGTTTAAAAAACAATGGTCAGAAACACAAAGGTAATTCAAGCTCCTGACACTGGCCAGCAGAATGGGAGAGAATGAGTGAACAGCCTGGCAATAGTGCCCGGGATAGCGGAGGTTAGCAATGCTTTTTGGCGATACTCCTCAGCTACTGTAACTGAGGGGGCAGACTTACGCCTATCACCTGGGTCTGACTTCTTACCAGCCCAGCTTCTTACTGTGCAGCCCGCAGACAAGACACTCAACATCTGGGGCTGCCCTGAGGGCAGCGAGTCAACAGAGCGGCAGATCTGGAACACGGTGGCACCACTGAAGTTGCTGGCTGTGATTACCATTACTTCTGATTCGGTTCAGGAACTAGAACAGCTGCTCCTGGGTGAGTAAGCGAAGCCCCTCTGGCACAAATGCTAAGCTTCTCACCTTAAATATACTTCGTGGGCCGGCTATGTAGTTACCAGGCTAGCTTAGAACTGTCCATGCAGAACACATGACAGCGCGTGCACATGATCCTCTCTCCCTGGGCTCGCCCTCAGGCTGGAAGTGTCTCTTCAAAGTCCCTCTTTTATCACACCAATCCTTTATTACAGACCCCGGGGGTCAGTAAACGACACTCTGCAGTCCCTATCGCAGTCCCTATCTCCTAGCTTGCTCCCACGCTGCACAGTACGAGAAGCACCCTCCCACTCCATCTCATGATAGGTGGCCAGGAAAGTTGAAAATTGGTGCTTGTGTCCAGGCTTCAGTGGCCAACTCTACCTGCTTCTTCAAAGGTAGGTCACATGATCTCAAGGGATCAAAGGAAAGGGTACTTACAGTCCTTTTGTGCAGTTTTTTTCTTCCTGCCCCCTGACAAGAGGTTCCCGGACTTCAAATGTCAATAGAACAAACCCCTCAGTTCCCACTGCAAATATTGCACAAGTAGCTCACTGGCTTCCACGTTTCCCGTGAGGAAATTCCACCCCAGGAGAAGGCAGGCACAGAATATAAAAACTTCTCATCTGGGCCCTGAAATGTTCACTTTGTATTTCCTAATTCAAAATCTGTCACAGGAACCCCCCTTTCTTTTAAGTTCTCTAGGGCCGAGAGACAGCTCAGAAGGTAAAAGTATTGTTACCAAGGCTGGCACCTGAATTTCAATTCCCAGAACCCACACAGAGGGAGGGGGAGATCCCTGCAAGTTGTCCTCTGACCTTTACATATATGCTGTGCCTGTGCGGGCCCTCCTAACATACATATACACAAATAAACAAATAAATAAAACAGGAAAGACAAGTTCTTCCCAGAGGTATATACCTGCTTTAAAAAAAAATGCAGGCATGATGGCACATGACTTTGAACCCAGCACTCCTTAATGTAGAGACAGGTAGATCTTTGTGAGTTCAGGCTGGTCCACAAAGCTGTCTCAAACAAACAAAAACCACTAGCAACAACAAAAGTACTGGAGTCCAAAGTGGGTCACAGAGACTTATCAACCTCTTGCTCCCTAGCTGCAGGATTTTAGACAAGTTAGTCCATGTGCTTGGACTGCCTTCCTGTGACAGACGGTGAAGAATGAGTTAGTAAAATTAATTCGGTACCTTCATCCAAGTGCTGGTCCTAAGCTCACAAAGGAGGGGTGGGAGGGAATTGTTCTGTGGACAGAGTGCTTGTCTTGCAAGCAGAAGACCAGAGTTCAATTCCCAGAACCCACATAAAAATGCCAGGTAATAGTGGCGCATGCCTTTAATCCCAGAACTCAGGGAGGCAGAGTAAGCCTGGTGTACAGAGCGAGTCCCAGGACAGCCGGAGCTACACAGAGAAACCCTCTCTCAGACAAATGAAAAAAACCACTCATGGTGGCACAAACATGTAATCCTGACCTGGGACAGGTGGACAGGAGGACCACAGGGATCCTTGGCTAGCCAATCTAGACTAATGGTGAGCCCCAGGCCAATGAGAGACCATGTCTCAAAAGAAATGGATGACCATGTCTCAAAATGAGTAGATGGTGTTCTTGAGGATGACCCGTGAGGACTGTACTCTGACTACCACATGCTTGGGTACACATGAACACACACACATTAAAAATAGAATAAAAATTTAAGCAACTTTTTTTGTTGTTTGTTTGTTTGTTTGTTTCGAGACAAGGTTTCTCTGTGTGGCTTTGGAGCCTGTCTTGGAACTAGCACTGTAGACCAGGCTGGCCTCGAACTCACACAGATCAGTCTGCCTCTGCCTCCCAAGTGTTGGGATTAAAGGAGTGCAACACCACCTGGCAAAATTTAAGCAGTTTAACAAAGGGAAAAGCAGCACTTTAAAGGAACAGCCACTTTTAGCTAGTCTTCTAGATTAGCATCAGTGAAGGCAGTGGTCCGTCTAGTTCCACAGGACCACAGGGCCATCTTTGCTTTTGCCTTAACAGGAGTTTTGATAACACATTAGAAACAGTATTAATTCCCTCATCTACCTTTTTAGTAAGTATTTACTGAGTAGTTAATATTACCTGGATACTGGCTATAAAGAAGCATACTTAACTTGGTTCCCCATTCAGTTGTGTGACTTTAGGAAGGCTTACTTAAGCTACCCCACCCCTACCTCCTCAATAAGAGTTACCTGTGTGCCTTTGAGTGCTGTACCTGAGGAGGCCAGAGACACTGGACTCCTTGAAGTTGGAGATACAGACAGTTGTGGGCCACCTGATGTGGATGCGGGGAACTGAACTCTAGTCTTCTGGAAGAGCCGGCACTCTAAACCACTGAACCATCTCTCCAACCCACCTAATAACTCTTTAATTCAGTGATGCACTGTGGTCTCCAGGTTTTCCTCCTGCTCACATGTTTTACAAAATCAGTTTTTGTCTTTCGTTTATCACTGCTCCTTTCCACCTCTAACCCTCGCCCCCATCCCCCACTGCTCCAGCTTTGCCCCAGCAATTACTTGTCTAGCCTGACTGGATGAACTCGGGGTTTCTACCCTCTCTTATATTTTCCAGTAGAAAAGAATCCAGCGGCAGTGTCGGGAGGGACTTCGGTATCACAAGGAATCACTAGAAGTAGGAGTTTTACAGGAGACACGATCATGAAATTTGTTAGCCCAAAGGAAACCCTACTTTGTCAAAGAATTGATTACGAGAAGAACTGGCTTTTGTCTTGTCAGTAAGAGAAAAGGGGGGGGGGGGCTCTGAAAGCCAAACTGGGCTACAAAGTGAGACTGCCTCCTACCCACCCACTCAAACCCCAACCAAGGAGAAAACTTCAAACGAACAAAGGAGAAAGGCTAGTGAAGATGCAAGGAATAAATCAAAAGAAATTCTCCGCCCATCCCCTCAATTCGTGTCGGATGCAGGCTCGCTGTCTACCCTATTGTTTTATTTTTGCTTTTATTTATTTATTTTTTCAGGCAGTTCTCACTACATAGCCTAGGCTAGCCTTGAATTAGCAACCCTCCTGTCTCCACCGTCGAGTGCTGCGACTACGTGCCGGCTTGATTGATGTCCACCCAACAAACTTTAGAGAACTTCAGCCCAAGGTTCGCCTTGAGAGTGTAGAGATTACCCCAAAACACGCGTGGCAAGGAGAGTCTAAGTTGTACGGAGGGTTAAGTTTCAATCAAGGCTGGTGGTACCTTGGGACCCAACCCAGCCCGTTCCACCCTGGGTCTGAGGCTGAGCCCCCACGTTCTAGTAACCCGCCCAATCCAGCCCGCGGGTCTCCTCGAGTGGGCTCAGTGCTCACCGCAGTCCTTGAAGCGCAGGGGCTCGGCCCGGATGGCGGCGACGAGCGCCAGCAGAAGGATCGTGCAGCGCAGGAAACGCATGGTGGATAAGAACGCTCCGCAATCTAGGAAGAAATATGTAGCTGCGGCGGCAGTCACAAGATAAACTTGTCACGGCGGACCGAGGGAGGAGCCGGGTCAGGCCACTTGTGACCAGTCACCAGCGAAGGTCCGCCCGCGCCCCGCCCGAGGCTCCAGGGCGCCAGTCGCACAGCTGGCTCTTTATCTCCGCCCATCTCTTCCCCTCCCGGCAGGGCCTGCGGAGATCCCGCTCTTCTTTGCGGTCGTCCCACTCTATTGGTACCGCCCCGCGTCGGCAATTGGAAGTGTTTTCAGCCAATCAAAGTCATCTTATCTTGTTATCCAATAGGCACATTTGGGGGCGGGGACTCCGCGCAACCCCGCCCCTGCCCTATCTCCTCGCCTCCCGAAGCCCTGGCCAAGGCGGGGATTTGGACCAATGTTAGGGGCGGAGCTTGCGGAGCAAGATGGCGGCCACCAGGCCCTTGTCCCTAACGGCCACGGCGTTCAGGGCGGTCATTCCCTGGCGCCAGGGCAGGTACCAAGAGTGGACAGTCACTTAGGAAGGGTGTTGGGTTCTGCGCCTCCAGGATAGATGTGAGACTAAAGCTCCCGGGGGCAGCTTTAGTTTGGCAGTTCAGATAAAGGCGTCACCAGGTTTGGGTGCGAGGCGGCCGTAGAGGGCATCAGGTGCCACTTCGGTCCCCGGACTTATCCTCCTCCTCATCGCAGGCTCCTCGCGCCCTCTCCCGGGCTCTTGACCCGGTGGGAAGCGACGTCCTCCATTCCAGAGGCTGGCGAGGGACAGATCCGCCTCACAGACAGCTGCGTCCAGGTAGGAGGCTGGGCGCGGGGCGGCGGTGCCCAGGAGCGCTCTAGAAGAGCTCCCTTTCATCCACCCCTTTATCACCGCTTGCATGGCCTTCTAGATCCTCTTTCCTCCATTTCAGAGGCTTCTGGAAATCACCGAAGGGTCAGAATTCCTCAGGCTGCAAGTGGAGGGAGGTGGATGCTCCGGATTCCAGTACAAATTTTCACTGGATACAGTTATTAACCCCGACGACAGGCAAGGAGGACGGATGGGTCGCTAGAGGCTATCAGAGGAATACAAGTGACCCCAGTTTAAGACACACCTTTATTCTAAACTTAAAAGTGTTTAAATATGCTCAACGCCACCACTCTCCCCATACTGTGAAAATCAGCAAAGATTTGTCCTATTATTTCAAAATAAGGAAGGACATTGGCTTACTTAGGGTCATTTGAGAGAGGCTGAAGTAGATTCAGGCCAAGTCCCTAAATGTTTCTCCTGTTCATTGCATTGAACTTTTTCGCTTCAGATAAAGTCAGCACCCGGTAGAAGCCCTAAGCAGTATTCCGTGGGTTGGAGAACAGAACGTGCACCTATGGCCCCAGGGTGTTGGGTTCTTGGCATTGGTTATATTCGTCATTAATTGCTTTCCTCTTGTCTTTTCAGGGTATTTGAACAGGGTGGGGCAAGAGTGGTGGTTGACAGTGATAGCTTGGCCTTCGTGAAAGGGGCTCAGGTGGACTTCAGCCAAGAACTGATCCGAAGCTCATTCCAAGTGCTGAATAATCCTCAGGCCCAGCAAGGCTGCTCCTGTGGGTCATCCTTCTCTATCAAAATCTGACACAGTGACAGGTGACCTTGGGATTGCCATCAGATTGTACCAGTGTGGACAAACTTGGGAATAGTAGAGCTCTAGAAGTTTCTTTCTTATCATGTCCCACTGTCATTTTATCTAGTTTAACCCGGGAGCGTTTTATTTTACCACTATTAATTATGGAACATGAAGCTTTTACTCTTGGCCGCAATACTCTCCCCTCCCCCAGCACAATGTTAAGGCCACGTCCAAGTGTTGTTACCTCAACTTTAAGCACTGATTGGAACCCAGTATAATCTGGAGCACCTCCAAGACTCCAGAATTTAGAGTTAACGTCTCTACCTTCAGACTTGTTTGTATATATGTGTATAGCTGTATATAAAACATCTTCTTAAACTATTCCTTATGTTTCAGTCAGAGTCACTGTTTGGGCAGCTTGAACACCAGTAACCAGAATCAATTAGAAAGGCAAATGAAATATTTCCTTCCTTCCTTCCTTCCTTCCTTCCTCCCTTCTTCTCTTCCTCCCTTCTTCCTTCCTTCTTTCAACAGTATTATAGGTAACTCTGGTTCTGAACTCTCAGTTTTCCTGTCTCAGCCATGTTACTACTGGGACTGGTTCATTCCTTTTTCTTTTCTTTCTTCCTTCCTTTTTTAAGTTTTTTTTTTTTTGAAATTTTTTTTTGGTATGTATGTGGTCACACCCTCTCCCCCCATTGGACCCAGGGCACTTACCTGCCTGGCAAACCCTCTAGCACAGTGTTCTCCTATCAGTCCCATTGGGTGTCACACATCAGATATCCTGATCATCAAATATTTACGTTAGGATTCATAATAGTAGCAAAATTACAGTTTTGAAGTAGCAAAGAAAATAATTGTATGGTTGGTGTGCCACCACAGCCTGAGGAGCTGTGTTGAAGAATCGCAGCCTCAGAAAAGGTGAGAAGCCCTGCTCCAGCACTTGAATTATGAGCCTAGACTGCTTTATTTTTTATCTGAAGCTAGGTCTCTCAGAATTTCCCCGGCTGGCCGTGAATTCCCTCTAGTTCTGGCAGGCCATGGACTTTCAGTGCCTGGTCTTAGTGTCCCAATTAGCTGGGGTGTCAGGCCTGTGCCAGCCCAGCTGTATGGCAGTCTTTGAATGTGTTAGGGATTTCTCGTGTCCTATGTTTCCTTTCTCCACTTATATATTATAGGGAAAATACATTCCGTTGTCACACTCATGAGTCTGCTAGGTTTTCGAAAACCAAGAGAGTCCTCCCAGCCCACTGAAAAACAATTTGGCCAGACCTCTGTTGATGTCTGAGTTACCTGAAAAATAGCCTTTCTATTCCATGCCCATAGAGGTGCTTCAAGATTCTGTGACCGTTTAGTAACTGAATTCATGTAGAATATTTTGCTTCACCTACTTATTCTATATAATATCTTCGGTTTTATGATTAGGGGAAGTAGTTCCTTCATTATTTGTAGATAATAGAAAGGACTTTTTCAAGAGTGCATTCAATATAAGATGAACAGTAAAATTTGGATTTCAGATGTATAAGTAATTTTGTGTTATTTAATCCTTAATATGTATCATACTTAAAGGTTAGGACGTATATTTGCTAAACCTTCTATTGCAAGCCATTGATCATTAGAGTGAAAGCTGTTTTTGTTTTTGTTTTCTGAATCAGGGTTTGTCTATATAGTCCTGGCCGTCCTTGAACTCACTGTGTAGACCAGGCTGGCCTTGAATTCACAGGGATCCCACTGCCTCTGCCTCCCAAGTGCTGGGATTAAAGGTGTGTGCCGCCACCTCCAGCCAAAAGAAAAGTTTTCTTTTATAGAACATCAAAAAGTGGGCTGGAGAGATGGCTCAGCAGTTAAGAGCACTTGCTGCTCTTCCAGAGGATCTGGGTTTGAGTCCCAGAGCCCACATGGCAGCTCACAACTATCTGTAGCTGCAGTCCTAGGGGATGGGTTTGATACTTTCTTCTGGTCTCTGGCACAGGCACACACTTGGCACATACATGCAGACAAACATCCATATACACAAAATAGAAATAAAACTTTAAAACCCAAAAATGCCACTAGAAAAGGGACATGTCACCTTCCTCACACGGGGCTCAAGAGCGCGTGTTTTCACAACCATGCTTCTTTACGAGTCAGCATTAGCGTAGCAGTAACTATGGAAATCATCAAGAGGAGTTCCAGTTATATTATGCTGTGCTCCTGGGCGCCCTGGGTTATTTTAAGTCTTCCATTTTAATCTCGGGGCGCTAAGAACATCTTTGCTTTAATTGGTTTTCTGTTTCCGTTTTCATCTTCATAATTGGCACAGTCCATCTTGGCAAGCTTCCAGTTATTCCCAGCAAAGTCTCTTATTTTCTAGACATTTCTTCATCTGTTTCTTCATTTTCAAGTTCCACTGTGGCATCTTGATAATCTTCTGCTTCGTTTGTAAGACGTTAACTTCTTAGTCTCAGGATTAAGTCCCTAAACGCGTTTGTCCATAGAAAGGAGTCCTGCTCTATAATAGCGTGCTCGCTTCCAGTTCTGGAAACCCGAGCACCAGTGCTCTTCCCCAGTAATGTTTCTTGTTCCCTGGGTTCAAGCCCAGTGCCCTCTGCATGAACTTCATGCACTGTAGACTTTTGGATAACTCAGTCCTGTACTCAGATGCCATGAGCCCCACTCCACCTAAGAAAAGCTTTATAAAACACAAATTCTAATACTTTTTGAGGTACTTAGGTGTGACATTTAAGTGGACTACAGAACTTGAAACAACTGTCTTGGATGCTGTGGAGCCCAGAACTGTTTAGATGGGTATTAGAAAAAGATTCCACACCACATCACAACAGATAACTATTAATACTGTGGGAAACCATAGACATCTGGACTCTGAAAGAGTTACTGGTCAAATGTATCTTTTCTCCATATCCTAAGAGTTTGTTGTAGAGAAGAGAGGACCTAAATTTTGCTCTTGGCACTGTGTGAGGAGACTCATAACCTCCTTTACCTCCACCTTCAGGGGACCAGACACCTTTCTGGACTCCAAGGTCACACTGTACTCATGTGACTATATCCCCCCCCCCAATTAAAAGCAATTTAGCCGTGCGGGTATGGTGGCACACATCTTTAATACAAACACTCAGGAGGCAGTGGATCTCTACTAGTTCAAGGCCAGCCTGGTCTACACAGCAAATTCCAGACCAGCCAAGGCTATATAGTAAGGCTGTTGCAAACCAACCAAAAAAGCTTATTACAGCGAAACATTTATATATGTACTAGATAGGAATTAACATCATCTAGTAAGACAGTTTGCCAAAGAAAATGGAAATCAAGTTTGGAATCAGAAACTGACATTTTCAGTGTGGGAAAATCTTGGAAGTAGTAAGCAGATCAGAGGCATAGAGGGCAGAAGGGAATTCTGGGAAGTGAACAGATTCCTTACCTGCTTAGGAGCAGCTCACTGTGTGGAAGCACTTGTGTGTATGAGTTACTAAGACTGAAAGTCAGTGACAATAGCTGGGCCTAAGATTTTCAGTTCAGACTGCTAACAGCCTTTTTCATTATTAGAAGAGATTTTACTACATTTTAAAGATTACAACCTA